TTCACAATTAAGTATTGTGTAGCCTTAAGAAGCAACCAAGTACTGACATATGCTAAAATATGAAAGACTCGATCACATAAAGTCACACCCCCTATTATTTCATTTACACCAATACCCTGAATAGGCAAATCCTTTCAGTTTTTTAGATTTGTACATGTGTGCATGCGTGCGTGCGTGTGTGTGTGTGTACCCATGTGCTTTGGCACACATGTGGAGGTCAGAGGACAGCTTTTGGGAGTTGGTTTTATCCTTCCGCCACGTGGGCTCCAGGGACTGAAGTCATATCATCAGGCTTGGTGGCCAATTGCCTTTATGCGTGGAGCCGTCTTGCTGGCCCTAATGCTGCTATTCTTTTTAAGGGAGCTGCTGGATTGGGCTCACAGCTTGGGGTCAGAGTTCCCAAACTCCCTTTTGGACCACTTCCGTTCTCGCAACCATCAAGATGATTAACTTAGCAAGGTTTCTGTTGGCTCCGCATTTGAGAAATTTCAGTCCAAGATTGGTCGGTCGATGGGAGTTGGGTAAGTATCGCATCATGAGGGGCAGGTGTGGCAGAGCGAAGCCGCTCCCTCGTGACCAGGATGAAAGAGAAATGGGAAAGGTTTAGGCCCCCACAGTCCCCTTTAAGGGAGTCCCCTCAATGAATACCCACTATTCTACCACCTCCTAAGGGATCTACCTCCTCCTAGTACCACAGGATGAGGCAAGACCTTTAATCCATCAACTTTTGGGAGACACTCCTGATCCAAACTACAACATGCGTTATACAGACACAGAGGCAAAGACATACAACAGTGTTTGTTTTAGAACCAAAAGACTTCAAAAGCAGGGAGGGGACCAAGTAATTCCTTTTCTTCCATGTATATAACAGAGCTAAGATCACAGATTTTTGGAATCCACTTGACTACGCTTGAAGCCAAATCTATCGCCAGTTAGCGATGTCTTCCTGGGGACCATAATGGTGTCTCCCTCTCCGACAGCTCTTGCTTGTTTCTAAGGCGCTCAGCAGGGTGCATGGCACGGCGCTGGAACCCAGGGCGTGCCGACTGGTTATTAGTCACGCCAACTGGAAAGCAGCCTGAGCCGTTTAATAAGGTGGTTCTTCATTTGTATCCTGACAGTTCTAATCACAAGGGACATCTTAGTGAGTGTGTCCCCTGCGCTGCACATCCACCGCAAGGCTGGTGGCGTGGATGATGAACACAGATCATTAATGCAAACCAGGAAAGATGCTCTTAGCTCTAGGAGAGATTGCTGTAGTACCCTTCTAAGGCTTTTCTTTTGCAATATCTGAAATGCATTATGGGAAATTAATGGGTTTTCTCAATCTCATTTCTAGTGTCGGCGGTGACATCACAAAGCAAGTTCCAGATGGCACCAAGTGGGCTCTATATCAGCGGTTTCAACACCGATGCCAACACATGACGTGCCCAGTAGCCTGGTGAGACTGACGTGCTAAGAAGTCCCCTCTTGTGAAGGAGGTTCAGCAGAAGATCAATGAGTTAATAGGGAACGGTCCTGTAACAGAATCTTTACAGATTTGAATCATATAACACCAGAGTCGGGAAGAAACTGCAGACCCCAAAATGGATGAAAATAAAAACACTATGGTATTAGAAGTCAAGCAATTTCTGAAAGAAAGAAATAAATTCCAAAGGAATCAAAACCCACATTAACTATTTTTTTTTCTGGTGAGAGGTTACGTTTCTAAAGGAAAATTCAGTATTTTAAAGTATGTTTAGTTGTCACTTATAGAGCACCACTGAGTTCCAGCGATTTTAGCCCCTTGTTCTCGGGGGACGAAGGGCTCAGTATCTCACGGTCGTCTCTAAGATGTTTGTCGGATCCACACATTCCTCTGTTCACTGAACAACTCTGAGCCATCTGTCATGGTTTCTGAGGAGCCTGAGAAACACACTGAGGTTAAATCGTATGCTCTTAAAATCTGTCATCATGCCACAGTCAAGGGCAAGCCTTCTTTTTTCCTTTTTTTTTTTTTAACAGAAATATGACCCTTTTTCCTCTAAAAGCTTCAGCTTAATCCTAAAACCGGTCTTCAGTCCGATAATAAATCAGGTTTGAGTGTGTGTTACCGATAGTAAAATACCTGAATGGTACTGAATTTTAGTGTAGCCCGATTTTCTCATCCATTTTGCTCAGACTGTGAGATAAACGGCTCTTGAGCCACTGTCATATCGCCATGCTCTGGGCTTTTAAAAATTATTTTTAATATTTAAAATTTTGCATCTACATGTGTACAGCACATATATGTTTGTGTGTGACACGTATGTACAGATGCATATGTGTTTGTGTGCAGGTCAAGGCCCAGGTCAATGTCACGGGTCTTCTTTTACAGGTCTCGACGTTATTTTTTGAGCTCAGGGATCAGAGCTCACCAACTGATTAGGCTGGCTAGCCAGAGAGCTCTGGGGTAATCCTCAGATCTTCATTCTCCCAGCTCTAGGTGGGCACACCTGTCATCTATGTGGGTGCTGGGGATTCAAACTCAGGTCTTCACGCTTGTGTAGCAAGCACCAACTGAGTCATCTTGTCCACTCTGTCGAGTTCTCTAGGAATTGGCTCCAATGAGTTTCCCTTAATCGCCCGCGGTCACCCACTCCCATGCTTAGGACCCTGGGATATATTTTTTTCATTATCAGACTGTAGAACTTGTGAATGTTTCCCGTTGAGAACCTGAAGGCAGCTCATTAATTTCACGTTATTACTCAACAACTCTCTATCACTGGTCAAACTCCACTTTCAAGTTATTCTATGTCTACATCCCAGTATCTGTGGAAAGGTCCGGAAGGATGGTTGTCTATTTAAAATTCATGCTCTAAATGTTAAGTACTCTGAAGCCTCCTCCACGGTTATTTCCAAACTCACACCTCCCGTCCTGTCCAGAACTTCCCGCCACTCCCGGTAGATCTCCACCACCAGTATGCTCTCTTTCCTATCTTAAACAACGTTCTTCCGTCTCCACATCCTTCTCTAGTGACTTCCTCCTTCCGCCTCCTCCCATCTCTTTCTCCCCTCGGCCCATTATTTTTGTATGGCTATCTGCACCCCTCTGGCAATCTATGCTTGCAGAAGTCCCTAATGAATCTATGTTACCAAACCCAGGGAAGACCCCGCCCCTCCGTCCTGTCTACGCTGACCTTCTTGAAGTAATTGCTCTGGGGTAGGTAAACCCGCACTCCCTCCGCGGCAGTCTCTCGTGCCTGATAGTGCCACAGTTGCTCACAAATACAGGAATTAATTAAACACTCACCTTGAATTCATGGTGCTATTCTCTCGTTTACTCACCTGTATGTGGTCCCTCCTGGGGAAAAAGGGGGTACATTGGCTTAGCTGACCTTCCAATGTAAACTCTCCTTAAGTGGGGACACATAATGGGGCCTGTTAATAGGATTCTGGTTGCACAGGCAGTAAAGTTGATTGAGAAACATGAGGAGAGTCATTAAACGAGCCAAGGAGCAAGGGACCATTGGCATTGGGGGTGGGGATGTGGAACGGCTGGTCACTGACCCGGGTGGCACATCGGGTGTCCCTGAGTCTCCAGATAGTAGATGCTCTTCAGTCTCCACTGGGCCAACCACAAATGCCCACGCACTCCCAACTACTTCCTGGGAGGTTGGGAACGAATGGGCCGCTCTTGACTTCGCAGCCTATGTGTCTTCAGAGTACAATGTACTTAAAGGAAAATCCATAGAACACGCTTACCCATGAGGCTTCCCGCCGCGTTCATAGTCTTCTAAGCTGGACGCTCCTGGCTCTCCGAAGCTAATTCTGGGACACGTCCTCAAGGGGAGGATGGATCTGTGAGGCTCTAACCCCACTGAGTGGAATCAGAGAAGGATCAATGGATAAGCAATTTGAAGACAGGGAGGGACATCGGCATAATTACACTGCAGGAGAGGCCACTGTTTGCTTAGGAGGGCAAAAAAATAAAATTAGGGGTCTCTTATTCTTCAAAGGAATTTATGAAGCCAAGTCAACAATTCCTGCCACAGCCATGCCTGGAAAGGTATTCTGGGACAGGGCCACACCTTTGGAGGACACTGGGAGAGAACAGCGTGACAAAGAGCTCCCAGTGATTTCTGCCACCGGCTTCTCATCCATCAGCAGTCCTATGCCCTTGACTACAGACAGGATCTCGTAATAGAAGATTCCTATTTCTAGGGAATTGGAGGGATGTTAGAAAAGCAAACACTTTACGGCAGAATGGTACAGGAAAGAGAGCAGAGAGGCATAAACCGTGCGGTCATATCAGTAGCTCTGCAAACCTGAGCAGGCTGTAGACATCTCCGAAATAAGGCTTCCTTAAAGAAGAAGCTGGGGACAGGACTGGTCTGTAAGAACTGAGGTAATATATTCTGTGACGCTGTGATTGGGGGAACGTGGACAAGCCACACACCCCGAACCTTTCTCAGTAAATGGAGACAGCGCCATTAGGCTTCTCCCTCAGCTTTTCTGGGGTCTGTCCCCAAAGCTAATAGTCCAGGGAGAAACTTAGGACCGACAGAAGCAAGCTGGACTCTGCCTTTAAGGATAGCGCGTTGGCTGAGCTATCCATGGCGGTGGAGACGGTCGTGCAGGCAAGAGGCTGTGCACCTGCGCGATGTTCTCCTGTGTGACAGATGCGGCTAACTACGCTTTCCTCCCCCCACAAGGACGTTAACAGCGACTCCAACCTCAGTCGTAGCTTCTGTGTCAAATTTGATGGTCCCCATAATCGCATGGCCTTTCTGCTTCTGGCTTACACATGGCTTTCGTTATAATTCAGCCGAACTTCTCTATGAAAAACGTTGGAGGAATACATAAATATAATGAACATAGCATATAGGCTCCAGTCCTTTCTCTAGGTAAGCATAACCAGCAAACCCGGAGGCTGCTTTCTTGATTATTTGCAGAATTAATTTGGCTTGGGGCTGGGGGCAAAGATTTGAATTAGCATAACTTGAAAAAGGACACCTCTGAGAAATGAAAGGGAACACGAGTTGCAACAATATTTGTACCGTTTTTATTTGCAAAAATAACCATCTGAATGCAGGTCCATAGTATATTACAGGTAAGTACTTCGTTCCAATGCGAGAGCATTCAGTAGTTGCAAAGTATCAACTGTGCTTGGGGAGATTCAGACTGGTTCGAAGTCCTTCACTGAACCGGAAGCCGTTTTCCTCATTTTTACACTCATGACATTGACCAGAGTCATTCAAGTCTGATTTCCATTTTTAAAAGTACAGACAAAAATCCCACTAAAATCATCACACGATAGTCTATGCTGTTACAAATATGTTATACAAAATGCAACATTGGCACAACATGTGTCTCATCGTGCTTGGCAAGGATATATTGCACATGCTACAGCGTAGTCTGCAGACAAACCTACTACACATAAGATGCTTGCATTGACTCTTCAGATCACTGCATAGGAAACACACGGAGTTACATTCTACACGCACGCTCAGATTGTCGCTATCTTAGAATGCTGCTTCTCTATAATACTGACCTATGGTTCACAGCCCTGTGTGAAAAAAGCGTCTCAGTACGACAGAGCCAAACACAATTCCTATAGAAAACTTAAGCATCTTCGTTTCAAAGCAGAGATGGGGAGAAATAGGGAAAGGAGACATTGAAAGAAAAAAAAGAATAAACTCCCTAGGATTATATTGCTCCAGTAACACTCGAGTGAAAAGATACAAAGCGTCTCACGGAACATTTCCAGGATATACAAATATAAAAGGCACTCTGACATCATGACACAAGACCACAACGGGACGAGTTTCTCAACAGTGCAATGGTTGCACAAACCCAGCTGCTCACTAGCGTGAGCATGACTAGTGTGCAACAAATCCTTCAGTGTCCTCGTTCTAATGCAACGGGGCAATGAGCTAAGCGGCCGTTCACTGCCCAACGTACCAAAACATACTATGGTGCCCTTTTAGTAGTGACGAATAGAAATCCCCTGAGTTATGATTTGCTAGGACTTTTAGGCGATTTGGAGATAGTCATGAATTTACCAGAGATAGGCAGACACCAGCGGACAGGTAAGGGCAATCAGACATGGTCCCTGTGGTGGGTGGCTAACATACAATCTAAAAACCATGCGTTTAGGAGAAAAGCACTGAGCAACTCAGACGCTACTAAAAACACTCCTCCCCCGCCCCCAGAAAGTGATGTCGCAAACATTCATGAGACAACTGAAATCCAGAGAAGTTATAAGTTTTGAAAGGTTACTTCTTTAAAAAAAAAATTTTGGTCTTGTTGGGCGGGGAGGAGGGACAGAGTCAAAGAAAGACGGACAGACAGACACAGACAGACAGACAGGCCAACTTAGAAGAATGGCTCTCTTTGTAAGCTTGATTTCATTTGGCTCCTTGTCTTTCCTCCATCAGAAAGAGCCAGGGAAGGCCAGCAGGGCTCCATGGTCACAGTGGCTCCTGCTAGGCCATTGCTTTGCTGAAGCAACTCCCTTGCTCTCGTCAACTACCAACGCCGGCATTTCATTTCCGGCTTTAAATGCCAGCCCGGCAAGACTTCCACTCCCTTCTGGAAGAAGGCGCACAGCTCATCACACCTAAACAGGAGCGCTCCCTTAATCTGCGGGGTTCCCTAAAGGCGAGGTCCTTGCTGCTCATTAGCAGTCTGTCTACGTGTTAAAAACACACCTGCTCTAAACAAGATGAACAGATGGAGGGGTTCATCACACCTTCACCCCGAGAAGGTAAAAAAAAAATGTTGCTGGTGCAAGATTTGCCTGCTGAAATCAAAAAACCATAATTTATAAATAATTTATAAAACCATATCAGTTTTATAAAACTTCTGAACAAGTTTTCATTTGTGAAGATCCAACGTGAGTTTTCATTAAATCCAGGATATTGAAAAGGGTGAGGGTAAAGGCCCCAAGCTTGGTGGGAACAACAGCGTATGTTGTCTGGGTCTCATTCAGATGTGAGCGAGCCCTGTAAAACACTATAAAATAGAATATTCAAGGGCGAAGACAGAACCCTGGATGTCTCTTCTGAACCTTCAGTGAGCGGAACACAGCGCCTGGTCTTGGGTCTCTGTGTTTGGTTTTAATTCCTTTTCTTGGCACAGTGCCCACACTTGGCCTCAGTCCCCATTAAGTCTCAGAATCATGAGACATTTTTGGTGTCATTTTGGCAGCCTCCGGGTCTTTCCTTGGGCTACCTTCGTGTGCATGATCAGCTACACCCGTTTTCATCTCGTGGAAGGGTTCTGATTGACTACAGAATGGGACCAGGCAAGGAGCAAACCTGAGGGTCAGCTGGTAGTCATGGGAAATGCTGGGTTTAACCCCAGAGCTATCGGCTAGCCCAGAGGCAGGGGTATTTTCCCACTTATTTTTATTATTCTAAATAAGGTAAATAGCAACGAGAGAGAGAGAGAGAGAGAGAGAGAGAGAGAGAGAGAGAGAGCCTAAACAGTGTCTATTTTCTCAGCATTTGTTTCATTTCAAATAAATATAAACACATTTACATCAAAGTATACAGACATATTCTCTGGTTTGAGAACAAAACAAAAACCCGGGGTCAACACATCATGGGGGAATCAGTTACAAATGTCACACCATCTGCTAGAAAACCACGTCATTAGAAATATAAAATACAGTAAAGACCGGTATGCAAAAAATGATTACATTTCAACCCCATAGAAAAGTTACTACGGTTCCCACTTGCATTTAGAGAGAAAGAAAAAGTTCAAAGTCTCCCGTTGTCGGCGGAAGCATTTTGGTCCTCATGGGCAGTGGGGCTGACGGAGTCCACACATCCATTTACACGCACGTGTGTAAGGATGTGGGCGAAAGTCGCAAAGTCTCATTCTTCCTTCTGTGCGGCTGTTTCAGGTGAAGGGCGGGGTCCGTTGGACCTAGAAGCTTTGGCAGAGGGAGCAGACACAGGTATTCACAATGCTGATTTCGTTAGCAAACAACCGGCAAATCGGCTTGCGCTTCCACACCAACCATTTCTGCTCCCGGCTCCTTGGTTCCCTTTCACAGCACGCACGGTCACTCCCGGGCCACCACCTTGACTGAGCGCTTCGTGCTATTCTACTGTGGAAGGACAGCGCCAGCCCTGAGGCCCTTACCAAAGTCAGCATTTCCTTTTACGAGCAAGCTCGCTAGACAGTGATTTCCTATTTGATTTGCATATTGTTTCAAGTTTTGGCATGATATAATTTCACCTGAAATGTGTTATTGGCTAAATTTGGGATCCATTTACTCCACTGAGAAATTACTCACAGGTTTCTTAAGGAGGGCCCTGGGTGCTATTTTGTTTGTGTCTAACGTGAAAGCACGGTCAATGTTCACATTCATCTGGCAACTTTAACCAAGATCCTGGGAAGAAGCTGCGGAATTTACAGGCTTCCTACGAGGAGGTAGGGTCAGGTGGACTCCCTTAAGATGATTATAGGCATTACGCCTGAAGATGAACTTTGACCTTTGGCTTCTAGTGAGGAAGTAAACAGCCGGCTGGGAAGAGGGTGCAGGCATTTCCTAGCCCCTCTTCCCTCCCCTCCCAGGGGACACGAATGTTGCTTGGCAGACCACAGAACTCATTGGTGAATACGTGAGGAAGGAACTCTTTAGGCTGAACATTTGTCCCTCTGTTGTGTGATCCCCAAAGACAAAGGATGCAATACTTAGAAATTTCCCTCACTTAAAATGAGAGGTAGGACTTTCACAGAAGTACCTTAGATCTAAAGAAAACAGGAAGCAAAGCAGAAGCCAGGTCTATCTGCGTGTGCTTCAGCCTACAGCCTAGCTGCCCTCCTTTGGCTAGACTGGTTCCTTGTCTGTTGACTTTCTGGAAGCTTGGTCTCAAATAACTCGAATACAGCGTGAGTCTGGCATTCTAGCTTCCGTCCCTTCCTGCAGGGCAGGCGGCTGGGGACGCGCCTCTACGGTCCACGGTTAGAACGTTTCTGAGTCGGAATCGTTTTCGTTATACCCGTCCTCGGAGCCCACGTGGTTACTGCTCAGGCTGACCCCGCTACCCAGGTTGGAGAGGGTCGTCCTGCTCCAATTGTCCTTTCTAAGACCAACCAAGTTGACCGCCGTCATGGCACTGGAGGGAGAAAGGGGCATCATGGTAGCCAGAATGAGGGCCAGGCAGTCAGCCACGCCTTTGTTAGGAGCACAAGCCAGGGCCGGGGTATGACCTGGGCGTAAACGCAGACAAGGCAGAGGTTAGTCCGGGAGGTCCAGGGCTGAATGGCGTTCCACAGTACATCTCCCGCAACCTTACGAGAGGAGATGCATGTTGAGTTAGAATTCATGCCAGGGAAGAGGAGGTTACTTCCCACAAGCCATGCTGGGGTGAGGCTGGCATGGGACAGGGAGGATGGGACATTTCGCGGAGGTTCTAGTTCTGGGTTTGGGCTCACACGCCTACAGAAAAAGCACAGTATTTTCCCCGGTTAGCGGATTCCAGCCTTCATCGAGAGAACGAAAACATATGGCAAGGGAGGGAGGTTGAGGACACGAGCCACAAAAACTAGCAATAGGACACACCCAAGGGGGAGGTTCCGCTGTCAGCAAACGCACACCATGAGCCGCAGACCTGGTAGAGGGGGACTCTCTTTCCGTGGCAAGTGTGTGTCAAACAGAAAGGGTAAAGCCAGTGACTGATGGCACTTTACATACGTGTCACAGAAAGGACAGATTCTGAAAACCCGAAACCCTTTGAAGAGGTCGGTAATTTATACTTGGGTGACCATTTCGGGGAATTTTCATAGCACTTCAAAAAGAAGTCACCTTGGCAACGAAAGTCACAAATCTGAGCTGTCAGGAATGCGGGACCAAGCCCTGGTGGTGTGACTCTGACACTCAGACTTGAGGCTTCTGACACTCATCAGGAAATCGGACCTCAGCCTGTGACGGAGGAACACACTGCTCTTCAGACGAACTTGCTAATCCTTGCCCCACCCCTGTTCTATTGGCCCAAGGTCCCCTTCCACAGTGAGCAATGAGCTTGCTCCGTCAATCAGAGGAACCGTTCTGGCAAAACTCAGTCACTGTTTCCTGTTCCTAGACATGAGGGCCCTCTGCACTCTCAGCCCCAAGAGACTATTTGTCTCTACAGAGAGAAACCAAGTGAAGAGCTTCAGGTGTCTCAAGGGACTATTAGCGCAGCAGGGTACTAAGTGATCTCCAAACGTCCCCAGCCACTGGCCCAGCTAAACCCTGACGGAGGCGGGCTCCCCTGACACAGAGCTTCTGTATCCATAGATGCAGACTGCATACACTGGAGAGCATGTTAGCACCCATTTAATCTAGCATCTCATCTCGGAGAGAAACAGCGGGCTTCTTCATGCCAAGCTTAAGGCGGGTAGTGTGGCTAAAGGTGAGGAAAATAAGCTGGGAACGCTAAGGGGATGGGTTGAAAGACCATCTGCACTTCCTAGACAGCCGGGCTGGGGAGACGGCAGGGGACATGCTAGGGTACGTGGGGCTGCTGCGGGAACAGAACTAAAGCATCCGCTAAGAAGTCAGCATGACCGCTTACTTCGGAGAAACAGGCCTGAGCTGCTAACTTCAATACCTGTAATAGGCAGTTAATTGAGTAGCATTAATACATCCGAATACATTACGTAGCTATCACACTGCAAAAATTACTCAATGCACATTTACCCAGAAGTTCCTCTTTCGCTCCCTAAGGTTACGAGGCATTGAGTGTACGGTGGCTGTTTATTAGGATTCTGGTATTCAACGGTTCTTGTAATGCAGCAGGCAGAGTGGAAGGCTTCTGGCAAGAACAGGCTCATTTGGGGAAAGGCCAGTCATAGAGGACAGGCGAGACCTCCAGCCTAGACCCTAGTAGGAACATTTCATTCACGTTTCCCAACTTCCTATATGAGAAATGTGAGTCCTGATTTGCACTTTACAAGAACATTTGATCTAGGAAGGAACCGGTGTGCAAAGATCTCTTTCCATGGAGCCCTGGAGTGTCCGCTAATGTATGTAAGTCGGAATTTCCAAGGCCAAGCTGAAAAGGGCTTTGCTATACCTGGAATTCTTTGAATGGCATAAGCTCAGCTGGTAATGTTACACACAACGTGGGCAGCAATGGTGGGCTACAGGAAGACAATCTACTGTACAGAAAGACAGACGGGACAAACTACCTGGGTTTGATTTCTTACACATAAGTGGCTTCCAAGGGGAAGGAACCCCTTACTGGCTCTTAAGCAGCACCTAACTTTCTCAGTTCCTCCGGCTTCAACCGCTAATTCTTCCTACTTACCGTTTTCGTCGAGCACGAGCACACAGGCTCCTTTGGCCAGCAACTCCTCCACGACCGCCGTCAAGCCATTGCGGGCAGCTATATGGAGGGGTCTGAAAGACAACATTGAGCATTGTGTAAATGAGAGAGCTGGGATCTTCCAAAGGCTGTGTGCCAGAGGCTTCGTGGAGGCGGGAGGTGGCAGATCCCATGAGGGCGGGGCCCAGTGAGAATCTCCAGGGCACTGTAGGACACCAGTCCTTCCCAGTTCCTCTTTGTCCTATGAGTGAATAGCTATGTCTTCCCTGTCAAGATAGCTGCCCAGGGCGGGGCAAAATAAAGAGGGCCAGCCAATCCTAACCCGAAATATGCAAAGCTGTGAGCCCAAACAAGCCTTTAGTCTTGATGATTCTCTCGGGTATTGGATAGAAAGGAAAACTAATTGGCAGCAAAATAAAGAAAAATGTAGAACTTATGTCACTAAAAGAAAGAGGTACTTAAGGATCTACAACTAGTGCATGGTTAGTGTGGCTAAGAAAAAGTAGTGTTGGGCATATCTTTTTCAGGTATTATTGACCCAGCTATTATTATGCATTGGGCTCAGATCTCTCTGTAAGCCTCATAAACAGTCTACATTGTAAGCCGTTTGGGGGTAGCACAAGAAGGCCAGAGGGATCTAGCTCTGTTGCATTCTGTGGAAGGCTCTTCACTGGCTACTTGGAGTCTCTGTTTCGCACGGTTCATTGAAATGAGCGGTATTAATATACACTCTCAGATCTTTTTATTATTGCATGTGCATAGATGTCTCACTGGTTTATGGGACCTTATAAAAGAGTGTCACCCTCAGAATATTGTGCCGTATCCTTTAACAGTCTTAAATTTAAAAAAAAAAAACCAACTAATATTCTTTGCCTTTAGAACAAGCGCATAAGTAATTTCCCCAAATGGAAAAACCGAAGCAGCTTTCAGATTCTTCACACTGAGGGTTCCACTGAATTATATTAAAATATAATTACAACAAATAGCTTAGACGCTGTTCAAATGCATTCTGGGAACCTGATTTATAAACGTGCTGTTTTCCAGTCAGACTACAGAAGGCTAATACATAATACAAACAGTTTCCCCAAATACGTCAGTTCGTAAACCCAGAAGGTTTTCCTAAAAGCTCACTAAATTTATAATGAAGCCCAGAACGCGCTGCCAGTAAGGAGAGCAAAGAACTTGCAAATCCTGAGAAGCTGTATCAAAATAAGGGCTCTACCGAAGACTGGGTATCTCCAGTCAACACTGCAGAGGTGCGTACAGAAACGTCATGAAGATGCAGTCTGGTTGGCACCACTCACCGCTCTGCTTCTCAGAGCTAGACTAGCATGGGGCAGGCTCTTGCCGTGTGCTGGATAAACACTATGACTCTGGCCCTGCCCCAGATGAACAGTCTTTATCACCCCTCCCCCACAGGCCCAGGCCCAGGGGCATCTCAGAGAAGATGCTGAGAACGGAAAGGCCAGAGGATGGGGGCAGAGCTGGGCAGGTTGTCTTTTGGACACGATGCGGTCATGGTGCTCATGAGCTCACGGCAGTTGAGATTTCCCGCGTAAGCTTTGCACAAGATCAATCCAGGCCAAATCCCAGCGTAGATGGAATAGATGATCTCTAGGCCCCGCCCCTTGCTGGGGAGCTATCTGGAGAGAATAATTGGAGCTGCAGGGGGTGTGTCATTCTTTTTGGCAGATGGAGCCACTCGTGGGTTACCATACCCCATTGGATGGTCCACATCCATGCACACAAACTGGACATAATGGATTAATTGGGTGTTAAAAAAAAAAGACATGCAGTTGGGAAGGAATCTGAGGGAGATGGAGGATGAAAATGGTGGAGATGACCGTATTTTGTTGTATACATGTTAGACACCCCCGAAGAATACATAAAAGTATGACTCTGGGCTTGGGTCGCGCGTGACTGTCACACTCACGTCTGCAGGGCACTGTTTTTCGCGTTGATAAGGCTCTCGTCTTGAATCTTGTCAAGTATTAGCAAGGCGCAGCCTTCATGGCCCTAATAAGGAGGAAGAGCAAGGCACGTGAGGCAGAGATACAGCACAGAGATAAGGCACAGCTCCTGAACGCTCCCTCGGCGCCAGCTTCCTCTGCCTGGAAACATCCAGGGCTGTTTTCCGAATAATTCCTTTTCCTAAAGAGTAAATGAGCCCAAGATACTCTTAAGCGTCTACCTGGGGCCCGTTAGGACCTGCTTAACACATTACTGACTTAAAATATTCGTAGTTAATATTTCCAAAATCATCCTTAAAATGAACTACAAGAAAGTGAAAGCAGACACTAGTGTGGCCAGGTCGGTGAGTGATGGAGGGGGCGGCGTTAGCAGTTCCCTCTTAAGCCTGCAGTGTCATTTTTTAAACACACATGGGTGCCCCCTCCTTCAAACCTTCAATGACTGCTCCGGTGATCCATCTCCTGGAGTTCCCACAACACCCAAGATCTGTGTCACTTTTCTCCATTTCTGTTTGGTACTCCGAAGAAGCCCTGTCTCTGGAGTGTGGTTTTTATTTTTCCCCCAACCCTAACTATAGATATCTTTAGATATTATGACAATAGATGCTTGATAGTTAAATGATCAATTATTAGATCTAGGATTACGTGTTACTAAGTCTTTGTTAATGAAGGGCACAGGACCACCATCACCAGTATCATCTAAGAGTTAGAAATGTTGACTCTCCTGGGAACACAGAGATATAAATTTCCATCTATAACAAAAAAGAAAATCTTAGGCCAATTTAGACCCGATCAAGAGCATGCACTTTTTGGGTTTTTGAGACAGGTCCTTACTATGTAGTCCAGGCTAGCTTTGAATCCCAGATTCTCCCACCTCAGCCTCCAGAGCGCTGATGTGAGAAGCATGCACCCCCATACCTAGCCAGCATCCATGTTTTAAGGACATTCTCAAGCGATTCCTTTGTATAAGGAAGCCCGTAAAGCCCAGGAGTTCCCATCACTACCCTGTACTTTGACATGCATGTCCAGATTTGAGCATTTCTGCTGTTTCTGTGTTCTTTCCAGGGCACGGATACAAACATATAACCAACCAATGAGAGCAATGGTTGAGACTTCTGGTCCCACCGGGTCAACTGGCATTATGACATAATACACTTTGCAAAAATTACACATACAGGCTTTTGTACACATCTTTTACGAAAGAAAAAAATCTACCATACACCTTGCATTGATATATGCCTGAGAAAACAGCAGCCATGTACATGGATATTGCTTTAAAGCACTGTGATTTGGGGCTGTGTTCTCACAGTGTCTTCGAACCCAACGCAACGGGAACTTCTTAGAGTTTATAAGCCACATCACCAATGTCTTACCCTGTTGTGTGGCACCCAAATGCGGTGCCACAGCCAGGGAGACAGGTACGGCAGCAGATACAAGGCAGGTGGAATGTGGCCAGACCGCAAGTGGCAAATGCATGAAACCCATCCTCATTGTTCCCTTTGGTGAGTGTGGTGTATCTACCAACCCAGAATTCTGCCCCTTCCTTCTCCTGCTTCATGTTCACGCATCGTTGGCAGCATCCTGGGAAACAGTCATTTAGCTAAAACCATGTTCCCTCGGAGCCAGGAGGACAGACCCTGTGGTTTCGCTACTATGGTCATGGCAGGAAGCAGCAGCATTTGAAACCCATTAGTACATACCTTGCTGATAGCCAGGTGTAAGGGAGTATTCAAGTCCTTGTCCTTGCCACTCAGGTCAGCCTGGGCACCGTTCACCAAAATATCTACAGACAGAACCACGAGAGAGTAAGCGAGACTGGATGCCAGGCACGCGTTTCGGCGTGGCTACAAAACTACAGCCCATACGCAGACTCAATGTTTGTAAAGAATGAACAGTTGGTTGCCATATCTGCTCCATTCAAACGGGAGCTGGGCGGGCAGAGTTCCAACCGCCCTCAGAGTTCCGCCATTCCAACGCCCCTCCGCCTTTGGGCTAAATCCAAGTACAGTGTCAGTCTTTCCAGACAAGATGGCTCTGTTTAAAAGTTTTATTTCTGAAGGTTGAGAGATTTCACCCAAGGATCCGCGTACTTTGCGATCGTCTTCCAACGACACAGTGACAAAGGGTGAAGATGTCTGAGCTCAGAGGTGGCCCCTTTCCGGCAGCCATGCTAGGACAGCGCTGGCATCTTAATCTGACTCTATGCCGCGTTTCAGACCAGCCCAGTGCAAAGCCCGCAGCCTAAGTACGTACCCACCGCGCCTGCCTGCCCGTTCTCAGCAGCCATCATCAAAGCCGTTTTCCCTGAATGATCTACCGCGTTCACTTGGGCGCCGTGTCTCAGCAGCAGCTGCAAGCACTCCGCGTGGTCACCAAAGGCTGCTGCGTGGAGGGTTGTCCTGCAGGGTTCAAACACACGTGGATTTACTGCCTTGCTAGTTATTGCAGTAACCATCGAGAGACATGTGAGGGTGTTTTTCAAAGACGTCAAGCTTCTGGGTTGACAGAAATGATGGCCCAATCCTTTCTTAGAACCATTTAAGGTGGCCATGGAAGTATCAGCTTTATGAATGCTGCCGTTCGATTTGGGGGGGCAGGAGGGGGAGACTCCTGCAATGACTGATACAGAAATCAGCACTGTTCCAACTTCTAATCCTGAGTTCTAGTGAGTTCCCACTCGTCTACGGCAGAAACTTTTAAAATTAGGGGCTAATTTGTAGGCGACTGGTTGGTTAACTAAAAGCCTTAAAAGCCTACGTAACCTAATGCAGACGGTGGGGTTACTAGGGAGGACAACATGACATTACTCATCAAAATGGAAAAAGCATTAGCCTTAATAAAGTAACTCCATTCCCAGGACTCCATTTCCCATCTACACTCAGCCGTGCAAACAGATTCCCTGTGCTGCTTCTTAGGAAGAGCAGAATATTGAAAGCCACGCGAAGAGTCTTCCAAAGAAGTCAGGCCAAGCAACATGCTATGCATTCATTCAAGGAGCTAACATGCAGCTTTAAAAAGGGAAAATGAATCTTTGTAGTTTGGTATGGAAAGATCTCGACAATAGAAAAACGTACCACGCATTACTTTCTCAGTTAATCACTTTTAATTTTAGCCAAGCATCATTCATGTCTATGATTCTAGCACTCAGCGGGGTAGAGCCTGGAAGATCAGGAGTCTGAGGCTAGCCTGGGCTGGGTAGCTGGTTCAAGGTCATCCTGAGCCACACGGCGAGACTCTCTCTAAACACTACGGCTGGAGCTCAGTCTAAGCGTGTCTGAGGCCCTGGATTCGGTTCTTAGCACTACCCAAAATAGTGCTAAGAACTATTTTATTCTAGAAAGAAAAGCAAGTGGCTCCCTATTCTACAACACAAAACAAGGGCCAAGACTCCAGAACCGACACCTCGGCCTCACCCACCTGCCTTTGTCATCCCTGCAACTGACGATGCTGGGATCGATGGCCCCCAGCAGCAGTGACGCACAGTTCTCGTGGCCATTTATTCTAAAATGAAAACGGATTTTAGTGGAAAAACTCATTAACATATACCCTTCCACACCGCATCTTTAAAGGCACTGTATATTTAACAACTGGATGCATTTTTAGAAAGCGGAAGCTGACACCTACGGCATGCTACGGCAGTGTGCACTGAAACCCCCTGCTTGCTTCCATGAAGGACCTCTGTGTTCGTGAGGTCCCCTGGAACACCGCTTGCACAAGGTCCCGCGTATGTGAGGTCAAGACAGCAAAGTGGAAAAGACATAGATACTTCACACGTGAATTCACCCTGATTGGTATCTTTAAGATTTGTCCTTTTGGAGCTGGAGAGATGGCTCAGCAGTTAAGAGCACGGACTGCTCTTCCGGAGGACTGGGGTTCAATTCCCAGCACCCACATGGCGGCTCACAACTGTCCGTAACTCCAGATCCAGGGGACACAACACCTCCCACACAGACACACATCCAGGCAAAACACCAATGCACATAAAATAAAGAAATTAAATGTTTAAAAGATTTGTCTATTTTTACTTTATGCATATCAGTGCTTTCCCTCACGTACATATGTGCACTCGGGTGTACCTAGAACCCGAGGATGCCCAAAGAGGGCATTGGATCCCACGAAACTGGCATGAATGGCGGTTAGCCACCTTGTGGGTGCTGGGAACCAAATATGGGTCCTCTGCAAACACAGCAAGTATTCTGAGGCACTGATCCATCTCTCCAGCCCCGCAAATCACCAGGTTCTTTCTCATCTACCCCTTTCTTTACTGATGTAATTTCATGCCTCTAGTGTAGTCAAATGACCCTGCTTCATGGGAAGTTCAAAGGTAATGTAAAGACTGCATGTTCAAGTCGTGCACCCCGCACTGACTCATGGGACCCTGAAGTAAGGTCACTGCCTTCTATGAGTAACATTTCTCTCTATGAACTTGCAATAAAAACTTAGATTTTAAAAAGGAGGAGGGTGGGTGAGGAGGATGGGTGAGGAGGAGGAGGAGGAGGATGGGTGAGGAGGAGGAGGGTGGGTGAGGAGGAGGAGGATGGGTGAGGG